AGAGCGCGGGCTCGCATGGATTTTGATTTCACTGATGCTAACACCTTGATTTTAAATTAGGAAAATGAGCGCTTCCTCCTTGCACTTCTCCCTCCCCTCCTCCTTTCCCCCTACCCTAAAGTCATCGCGAATTTTGAGCAATAAGCAGAGAGATATACCAAGAATACCAGGACTTGGTTTTGATAAGTTTACTACCTGCTGCTGGGACTTCGCAATAACTTTGGGGCGCAAAACCATCATATATTGAATCAAAAATGCGCCAGCAAGTGAACTGGGAGCACAGGGGCCAGTGATGGGTATAAATGTTAGTATTATAAGGATTGCACAACGAGAGATCCGGAATTAGTAATGACGAAAAGTTCAATTCTTTTCGGGTCACGTTTGCAAAAAGGGCAACATTTTGCATAGGCACTAGTTAGATACCAAAGAACCCTTGCCGTTTTGTGTCCGGTTACCACTTTATTTTACAGTGAATATGCAAGTAAATTAAATATCCGTTAACTCAAAAGTGACATCAAAACAAGTGTTTTTTTTTTTTTTTATAACCGAGATTTGAATGAGTGTAAAGAGTGCTCCGACAGAAAATAATAGGGCTCACCTGTAAATACCAAAACTGAACGGTGCTAGCTTCTTGTAAGCAGCCAATTTCTTAAATGTGAATACCAGCGCAACGAGACAAACCACCGAAAGCATTGAAAGAAACAGGATGAGTACATAGATGGGTAGAGGCAGAAAGGCATTCCTGATAATGCACTGCTCGACCGCCTGACCATTCACTGCAACCGAACTAGCAATTGCATTTGAACCGTGTTTCAAAGTCGGTTCACCAAAATTGCCCGAAACTTTTAGTGCTATTAAGACGCAGTGATTCTGCCACTGCTAGACTTCACTGCCCTAAGTTACTTCTTTAAACCTGGCTTGCTTTGTTCTGCTTCAATTCGTAATCAGTGAGCGATTTCTTCCTTCAAGTTTCAGTCTTTAGAGGACTGAAAGCGCCGAGAACACTTATTCCATGAACTACCCATTTGCAAGGTTAATCATCAGTCCTCTTTTTTAGGGGAATACTGCCTTGAGCGGAACTCCTTTTCGAAAATGGTTATGATCGGGAGGGAATCGAACTGTTTCCCTTCACATCCGGACGTGATGTATTCCCCACTAAACCACCGGCCCTTGTGCTTCAAGATCAGATTGGCAGCACATCTGCTATGTATTTGCCTTGATTGTTACTCATGCTGCGTCTTGCTGTATTGAAAAAATATGATTGTTCCCCACTGCACACGTGTTTTTCATCAAAAGCCACACAACTGATCAACAGATGTTGAGAAGTAAGGTGATAGCGTCTTTTGATTCATTCGAATGATCGTCAGGAATGATGTACCATTGAAAGGAATCACTAAGTCGTCGAGGAGATTGTTTTTTCCTAATAGCAGATTTAAACCGCTCTGAGAATAGAGTTACGTGCCAGCAAACATTTGACAGAAAAACAACAAAAGACTAATCGGAAGCTAAGTAGAAGCTATGTTAATTGCCAATAGTGACTGTGCACTCATGCAATGTGTGGGTAAAAAGTACTCTGTAAGGTGTGGTTGCAAAATACAGCTATGAAAAATTCAAAATTCTACCATGAAAATACTCTTGAAATGTATTTTGTAAAGTTTGCAGGAATGGGTAAGTCTGAAGGTTGTTCTGAGTAAATGCAAACGAGTTGTGTAGCCTTTTAGTCTGGGTTACGAAATCTCCTTCCTTTCTTCCTTCCTTACTGTAACTGCTTTGTACTTGCATCACAGTACAGCCAGGTTCGGCAAATTAATATATAATGTATACTACATTTAATATTATATATATACTCTATATGTACAAGGACACACATAAGCACTCTCCGCATAGTTTTTTGATGATCTGTTCTTATTTTTTTGTTAAAGCATACAGTTAATACAGTCTTCGTAACCTGAGCAACTACTTAGAGTTCTGCTGTCCTTTTGCCTGTTACTTATTAGCCAGCTTCAGTACTTTTGCACTAATCCGGTTTAGCATAGAAACAGCACTACGACATTATGTGTTGTGCTGGTAGCAGCTGCCACTGCTAATGGGATTTTGTTTTTCCGAATTTTTCGACCAATA